TAGGCTACTAATCCTTTAAGAACATTTCCCTGATTATACTTACAAAGCATATTTTGAAGTAACGTTTTCAATGCAAGTAATTCGTAATTTTACTTAAGCACAGGATTTGAATACTTCCTCCACCACTGACAGGAGGTTTTGATAAAAAAAAAACTGAACGCTGACCAGACTTGACCGAGTGATTTCAACAGGACTGGCCTGTGCCAATTTCTACTTTGGGCAGCCACTGGCACATGTCAGACAACATGTTTCAACATCTAATCGCTTCAAGGAGTTGGCACAGTGTGTGGATGACATGGTCCCAAAACATGGGGTTAAGTAAACCTCTATTGTGACAGACATACAGTGAAATTGTAAAATGTTGTGATTAATAAAAAGTCAAGGTTCAAAATATGTTTAGACTGTAGAAACAGAAATATAATAATGTCTGCTTATTATTGAAAAGATCCACCAACCCCACCTCGCAACTTACAGGCCTCAATGGATCTGCTGCTGAAGTCTTGGTGCCAGATACCACAGCACACCTTCAGAGGTCTTGTAGAGTCTATGCCTCGACAGGTAAGAGTTGTTTTGGTGGCAAAAGGGGGACATACACAATATTAGGCAGGTGGCCATAATGTTATAGCTGATCCTGGACCTGGAGCAGGTTTTAGCCTCATTCTGCTCCCTCTGCAGCTCCCCCTTGTTCCTTGACCTGAATGTACTCCTCTTCTCATTCGACAGGGACTTTAGATCTGGGATAAACCAGGGATTTTGTTAGAAAACAACCATATTGTCTCAGGGCACAGTGTTTTCTACACAGAAGCTGATATGATCTGTGATACAGAGTGTGACACTGTTAAAATCCTCACCACGAGGCTCACAGAGAACATCTCAGTTGGTTGAGTCAAAACAGTACTTCTGTGACTCATCACATTCATTAGACCATCTTCTGCCTGTGTAGGTTTTTATGCAGACAAGAGATGCACCAGGTTGTGGTCAGATCTGCCCAGTGGAGGCACAGGGGATGAGTTATATGTCCCCTTCACATTAGCGCATAAGTGTCCGGTGTCCTTTATCTCCGGATTGTCTATTATCTCTAGTTTGACATATGCCATATTGAGTAAACGTAGGCAAAGTGGAGGAAAAGAAGGCATGATTAAAGTCTCTATACATGAGCAGGAGAGATAAATATAAAAAAACTGCAAACATCTGAAAATGTCCCGATTGAGCTGAACATTTTTAAAGTTTGACTGGAGTTTCTATGAAGGAGATACAATTCAAAAAATGGTCAGACACTGGCCTGCATGGTGTAGTGAGGTTCTGGACGTCTGGAGTATTTTTTGCATTAATGTCAATTTTTCAACGTTAGAAGTGCTCGATTTGGAAAAAGACCACAGTCTCTTTGTGTGACTGGCAATTAGATATAAACATTTGTACTCATAAAGTCATCAAATCGACTCTGCTGTTTTTAAGAGTTCGTGAAATTAAATTTTGAAGGGAAATTAAGGGAACTCCCCAATGTGGGCAGAGGAGGGAGACAGTGGGAGGCGCAAACTGCATCATGCGATGCCAAATCGAAAGTAAACTGGATGAGGAAATAAAGAAATCACACTAGCAATACGCGCTGTCCTCTCCTGCACCCGTACACGTCTGATTTCATAAAAAAAAAAAAAACATATTTATTTGTCTTGAACTTGAAAACTTTGCTTAGTCATGTCAAAGACATCCACCCTGAAAATAAGCAGCGCCAGTGCAGTGAAGGTAAGTGGATGATCTGTTGCAGTAAACGCGTCTGAACGGGACAGGAACAAAAGACGACGTGTGATTACGATGTGATATGAAGAGACTTTACATTATAGTCCATGTTTTTCGGGTAGTGTCTGAAATGTTCAGCACCAACATGTTGGAGTCGGTTTAAACTTGTTAAAGTGGCAGAAAAAGTCCCTTTCTTAGAGGAAAACGAAAGTAAATCCAAACGGTTTAATATGACGTGACTCAGCAGCTTAAATGATGTGTGTTTTTCACTTTATCCTGCTTCATTTCCCACAGGTGGAACACTTCCGTCAGTCACTGTACGAAGAGGTCTGTAGAGCCATTATAATATGAATGGCACATACATTCAGATCATGTAATTTATGCAGCTTCAAATTTGACCTTTAAAAAAAAAAATGTTTTCCAGGCAGAGAGTCTGTTCTCCAAATACATCCCACTGAAGATTATACAGCTGGATGCTCTGCTCAGGGTCAGCAAGTTCAATGTTTCACCAGAACACACCACGCACATGTGAAATAACCGTTTTCTGTTCTTCGTCCTTCTCATCTTCATCTGTGTGTTTTCAGGACGATGCCCTCAGCCTCAGTGACAAGTCCTCTCTCCAGGCTCCGCTGGACATCCCCATACCCGACCCTCCTTCCCCAGAGGACGATGTGAGACCAGCTCTGTTCATCTGTTTCACACCATAACTGTGATTTTTATCCATCACATGTTGAAAGCCACATTAAGCCGTCTACATTTGTCTTAATCACCGTAAAAGATGAAATACCAGGTCCATAGTCTTCAGCTGTAAATTAGGATGGAGTATGTTGCTCTACCAGCTGAGATATACAAGCTGTAAGATCCCCAAAAGTCCCAGATGCAGTGCGTGGCACAGTAAAAAGATATTTTTTATTGTTAAGGGTCTTACAGTGGCTCCTGCCCAGTGTCTAAATCTAGTTTTAATACCTTTGATATTAAACGTGTACATACATATATCTGCATACATCTGAAAGTTTCACATATTAGTGTCAGATCAGATTAGTGTCTTGTGAAGGAAATAAAAATGATGTTTTTGTTTGACTCTGCAAAACTGATCTCACAGGAAATGGAGACAGACAAGAACGAAGACGATGAGAAGAAAAAGAAGAAAGGTAAAGTGTTTGTTTTTTTGGAGTTATTGTGAGAGTTGGCAGGTAGCATGTGGCGTCTGCACACGATGAATATGGTGGAAAAAACAAAGTTCTCCTTTTCATCTGCAGCTCCAAAATGTGGCTTCATCAAGGGGAACGAGAAGATTATGATGCTTCTAGAGAGGGTGAAACCAGAGATAGTGGCTCTTAGAGAGACCATCATTGTTGTAAGTGAATCACTATCTGCGTGAAGATGAATTCTGACCCAGTATCTGCTTTAAAACACTAAAGGAAGTCGACACAGTGGATGTGGTAAAGCTCACTTGTGTTGTTTCCTGCAGGTGTCCTGCTGGATTCAACATCTCATCCCAAAGATAGAAGATGGGAATGACTTTGGAGTTGCCATTCAGGTACATTTCCATTCAAAAGACTATACTGTGCATGCATTGTGATGCATTTTAGTTTATTTGCAAGTGTTTGATGGTTGAAAATGATTTTTTTTTCACCACAGGAGAAAATCTTGGAGAGAATCGCTGCTGTGAAGACCAAAGTTGATGGATTTCAGACGAACATCAACAAGTAGGTTGACTATAAAAGCTGGTGTTAAGATGTGTAATGATGGAGAGTATCACCATTCACCTGAAAAATATTTGCAGATTGTGTCTGGTTTACTAGCTGTTTTGGCAGACAAATAATTAACAGTTTTTTTTTTTATTAAGAATGCAGGACATTTGGACTCTTGTGACTTTCTTTTTTTTTTACCACTTAGGTACTTCTCAGAGAGGGGAGATGCTGTTGCAAAAGCCTCAAAAGACACTCACGTGGTGAGTGTTAATGTTCCCGTCTTTTAAAATTTTTTTTTTTAAAGAGGTACTCCAGCAATTCTGTATTACACTCCCACAAAAGATTTCAGAGGCAGAAATTGCACTTTTTTACTCCACTACATTTGTGTGACAGCTGTATTTATGTGAAGTGTGTGAAAACGAACGTTTTTTTTAATTTGAATTATTCTCATTTGACCTTTAGCCACCAAAATCTAATCAGTTAATCCTTGAGAATGTTTTGAAGAAGTTCCTTCACAGTGTTACTGAGTCTTCCTATCCACAAGCTTCTCTGATTGACTGAGCTGCTGACACTTTTTTTTTTCAATTAAAAAAAAAAAAAAAAAAAAAAATTTCTACAAAAGGCCATGTTGTTGACACAACTCCTAAACCAATCAGCACCAGTCTTAGATCAGGTGTGAGCCAGGTATTTCTAATTGTGCCCTGAAGTTTTGCACTCAGTGGAAATCAACTGTGGTGTGTGGCTCCCGAAGCTGCAGTTGCCTTTATCTTGCAAGGTTATTGTTCACATTTGCATGATGTCAGAGTGTCAGACAAAAATCTAATCAGCATTCTCCAAGCATCTGGTGACTGATTATGCGATTCTGTGCCTGGCTCATCCGTTTCCCCGGGCCGGGTACTCCCCCAGTGATGAGTAAACTGATCTTAATGTGCAAAAATGAACAGAATGCTACTTTAACTCAGCTTCTTTTCTCTCCAGATGGACTACCGCTCGCTCGTCCACGAGAAGGACGAGACCATCTACTCGGAGATCAGAGTGATTGTTCTTGACATTCGTGGCTTTTACGTAAGACAAGTTGATCTTCTCAGAAACATTAACCACCATACTGTCATACAAGAACATTTAAAGATTCTTTTTGCCTCTTTACTGTAGGCAGAGCTTTACGACATCATCAACAAGAATCTGGAAAAGGTGACCAATCCAAAAGGAGAGGAGAAGCCCTCCATGTATTGAAGCTGGTGGGAGGAGGAGGTGATGATCTGATCAGATTCTTCAAACCTCTGCTTAACAGCTGTATTGATCATCTGGTGTATTCAATATCAGTCAACTCTGTCTGTTCAGTCATGCTGCATGTTCATGTAAATCAGTTAAAAAAACATTTTAAAAAGTTAAACATTTGAAATAAGTCTCACTTCCCAATTTTGCTTATTCAGTTCAATAAATAGAAAAAATAACTGGATCAAGGTTTTTATCACTGCTGTATGGATTTAGTTTTGTACAAACACTTGCACTAAATTTAAGTTGTTGTGTTCGACTATGAGATTAAAAATAAGTGAAAAAATGAATAAAGATGGTGTGAGATTCAGAGATTTATTTGTAACAAAACCTGCCTTTTTGCAATGTGTGATTAATGATGCACGTCTCATTTATCTTTTTTTTTTTTTTTAAACAAATACTCAATTAGGAACCTTATTACAAAAATTGTTTCCCCCTCAAAGATCAGGAGGTAAGACCAATAACAACAATTATGACATAATCAACTAATAAACAATATATGAAAAACAAAACACAAAACTATCAGTGATTCAAACTTCAGGACCTTCTCCACCAGGTATGAGCTGTAAAAAAGAAAAGAAAAGAAAATATATAGATATTAATTTCACTGTGAAGTCTAAAACAACAGTAATACATCATGTGAAGGTGTATGACACAAAACGTGGAGGTTTATTTTCATACCATGGTGATATTATTGCCGTTCAGGAGGATCTGGTCCAGTTTGGTTATCCTCCTTCCCTCTGGTGTGATTTCACTACAACACATATAAGAATAAATTAATGCAACAAACAGGTAAGCAGTTGACTTATAAATGACAGTATTTAATGTGAAAACAAGAAATGTACTTACAATTCTGTCACATCCTCCAAAACCATATCTAAGACATTTAGTTAAGGACAAAATCTGGGGCAATATTCAGAGCAAATGGTAAAATCACCCAGTGCATAAAACAGGAGAAAGTGTTTTTTTTTTTTTTTTTTTTTTTTAAAGAAACTGCAACCTGAGCAAAAGGATACTGACAAAGTCATCAAAACCCAGCAGGGTACCGACAATTTCTTTGTCGGTTTTCATGACGATGTGAATCCGGGAGCCGATACATTTGTCCACAAGCTCTGAGAGATAAAATGAAATTTAAGATTTGGTCATTGATTTTCTTTAATTTCAAATAAAAGGTTCTCAATTGATCATTTCTATAGTTCTCAGTTTTGTTTCTCTGATCCTTTAATGTAGTTTCATCTCTTTACACTTTCTTGCAAACAAGAGATGTATTGTATTACAGGCTGCAAAGAATAGCTCTTTGCATTATCAATTAGTAGAGTCAGAATTTGGCATCAACAGCATGAACACATGGACCCAACCTGCCGTGTGTCATCAGTCCTGGCTGGTGGTGGTGGTAGTGTAATGGTATGGGAAATATTTTCTTGGCACATTTTGGGCCCTTTAATACTACTCAATCATGATTTGAATGCCACTGCCTATCTGAGAATTGTTGCTGGCCATGGTCAGTGAACTTCAGTTCCAGGACAACACCTTTGAGATGTGATAAAACAGGAGGGTGGCAGCATAAATGTGCCGCTGACAAATCTGCAGAAATTAAGTCAGAGGAGGAAAGAGAGGTCCTACCCAGTATTAGTATAGTGTTCCTTATAAAGTGCTCACTGAGTTTATAACTGCTACATAGTAATCTTGGGCCCCCCACTGCCCCTCCACCTCCTGCCCTTTGCTGCCTGCAAGTTCCCATTAAGTCCTCCTGAGCTGTAATAACACTTTATCTTAGTTTAACGCAGCTTTATTTACCGGCATGCTCAACGTGGGGACATAAAGCAAAAGTTTGACACAGGGCGCCTCCACGAGGTCAGATAATTAGGTAAATAATGCAGGACCACTTTAATTGATATTGTATTTTAGTGGTGCAGATAATTCAACACATTTGCAGATATTAAAATTGCCAAGAACAGGAGAAGAGAGTAGTTTGAGAGAAAACAGTATTTAGCTATCTGCTAGCATGATGCTAACGCCAGCTTGTGAAACAACGCAAGCATTTTAACTTATATCAGCTGCTGCTCAAAGTTCAAATACCAAAATTCCTGGCTTTTGACATCTACACATTTTTAGCTATCTAAAACAGAAAGTCAACATTATTTTTCATTTACAAACCCAGTGGGAGCAACTGAGACGGATTCGTTGCTTGAGTAGCCGCCATTGTCGAGCCACGAGCAGTCAGAACCAATCGACAGAAGAAACGTCAGCAATCAGGCGAAAGCAATCAAACCCGAATCGCTCATCAATCATCATTATTTTTACATTTTACATCAAGACACATAATAGACACACAGTTGAATACAAATAATAAAGTGAAATAACAACTTACATAGTTGAATAGATGTGATAGAAATTGTTAGAACTCGAAGATTAAGTTATGTTATTCGATTTAGTTCAACGTGATGGCGCTGTCGATGCATGACGTAATTCTTTCACTAAACAAAGAGACAAGAGTCGAGGTCAAGATGGTTCCTTACTTTAGATTTCGTTGTCTAGCATAATAGTCCTACTTTAGTGTCTATTTATCTTTGCTCAGCTTTGTTATCCTTGTTTTCGCTGTATGTCCATGTGTACCTCCCTAGACATTGGTATTGTGTATTATTCCTTGTTTGCACAAACAATTATGTTAACTCTATGAATTAAGATAGGCAAAAAACAGGAAGTGCGCTGCAGTGAATCATCTCACTCTGTCATTCCTTTCCGTCATCTTTGAAAGACCAAGCGGAACAGAAAACCCTCTCCTCTGCGACTGAGTTGTGCTCCGGTCTGTTTACCGATTCAGGAGTTTAAAAAAATCTACTGTGTTTACTGTTTTTACATCCGACCCCCGATTTCAGAACATCCCAGTCCTGACTAAACATCCAGGGGGAGGCGGGCATGGAGTCCCACGGCAGAGACGACGCGAAAGGGCCGGTGCTACACATCGTGGTGGTTGGATTTCACCATAAAAAGGGCTGTCAGGTACATGAACCCTGCTCCATGCTAACGCAGCTAACTGCATATAAAGGCACAGTTCCACTATGTCTCTGTATCCTGCATCAAACAGAAGGATGATTACACTGCGGCTTAATGAGTGTCTTTATTTTAATTATAGCTCTCATAAGCCTGCAGGGATGGTGATAATTGTCCCCTGCCTGACATGCATTGAAGTTAAATCAGCTGTTTGCTCTGGCTCTGCTCTCTGGGTTATGTAACATGGGCTCTGCTGCCAACTTAGACATCTTTCTAGTCCAGTGTATTCAACAGCAAGAGCAGCGTTTTCATTACAGGCTGCAGCTTGTCCTGAACTGGTCCTGGATGCAGTAGATTTCCCTCCCTGATGTTAATCTGCGTCTCAAATCGAGCTGTTTGATTTAGTGCATGGATGTCAACAAAGAGGAGACTGGATCCTGAGAGTTTGTGTTGGGCATTAACTTGTGTTTTAGATATTACTAAAGATGCAGAGACTTATATGAAGCAGGAACCAGCAAATGTTTGACATTTTTGATTTTAAAAAGTGACTAAACTAATCAATGATTAATGAACAATTAATCAATTATCAAAGGAGCTCTATGTCAAAGTTGAGTTTTCTGAGAAGAACAGTACAATACCTGTAATAAGCTGCAACAAGGCTGTTCTGTATTCAAACATCTTCCTGTATTTGTAACCACCAAACATATTCAGTTTACTGTCATTTATGTGAAAGAAAAGGAACAAATCTTCCCATTTGAGAAGCTTTAACCAGCTTTTTTTTGGCTTTTTTGTTTAGAAGAAAAACTAAAATGGTTAGTTAATTATCAGAATTGACTAATCGACCAATCGATTGCAGTTTTAATCTCTGTCATTATTAATTAATCTGGCAATCATTTTCTCGATTAATCGATGAATTGTTTTGTCTATAAAACGTATGAAAATAAAGAACAAAAGCCTGTTAAAATTTCCCACAGCTCAATGAGATGTTAAATTCAGCATCAGATGTTCACTTTATTCAGTCATTTATGACATAAGCAAAGCAGAAAATCAGGGAATGTTTTGGCCGTTTCGCTTGAAAAATGACTAAAATGATTAATTGATTATCAAAACAAAGGTTTAGTTTCTTATTAACTAAATGTAAGAAAGCTCAAATGTTGGCTTTGGCATTCCTGTCCTTGTAAACCAGTTTTGCGGCGATGAATGTTTAACTCACACCACTCACTGACATGCCTGACCTCTGGCCTCCTGCATGACAGCGTCAGTGACACCTGCTAATCAGTGAGAGTGAACATGAGGCAGCAACATAAGTGGCTCTAATGCATCCTCTAATTACCACCTCCTCCTCTTCTTCTTCTTCTTCAAAATTCATTACATTTACAGGCTGAGCTAGCAGCCATAAACCCAAACACTGTGCCACGTGGTTGTTGCTACTGCTCTCCATCTGTCTCTGCTGCTAAAAGATGAGAGGACGGTCTTTCTGTGGGCCGTTTCACTCGACTCTGTGGCGTCGGAAGCAGCTGCTTGGTTGAGTTGAAAGATAAAGCTGCAAGACGAGACTGAAGCTGCGACACAGCAGACTCCTTTGTTTTGGGTAATGAGCCTGTTGCTGTTAATGGAGGTTATCTGAGAGTGTGTGTGTGTGTGTGTGGGGGGGGGGGGGGGGGGGGTGTCAGCGATCTCCTGCTGGGTATCAGATGATTGGGCTCCTGTAATCCCTCTGTCTCCGTCTCTTTTGACCTGCCACCCATCTGTTTCTTCATCAGGAGGCTTATTAAAGAGATGTGGAGGTGTTTCTGTTCAGAGCATCACTTCTCCAGAGTAAGGAGTGGCAGCTCGCCCTGAGGGAGCGCACTCTGCAGCAGTTTATCCATAAAGGGTGAATCATTGTTGCTGGGTGTATGTGTGTGTGTGGCGTTCAGGACCAGCAGGTTTCAGGTTAATCTTGTAGGCGGCTCTTAACTGTCACCACTGGCAGGAGGCTGGGCTACAATGGTGGTGTGAATTTTTTCTAGAGATCAGTATAAACAATAGAGACAGTAAAGATGAGAAAAGAGAGTCTGCTAGCAGCGTAGCGGCAGTTATTGAGGACCAAACACTGGAAGTGATGCAGGTTGAAAATGTTTATGTTCTCCACTGCTTGTGATTGAATTAAACCTGCAGCCACTGACCTTTTTTCAGTATCGATTAATCTCATTTTTATCATTTCATGTGATCTATAAAGTGTCACAATCACAGTTTCCCAGAACTCGAGATGATGTGTTGAAATCCAAAACTTGAATATATTTAGTTTACACTGACATATCATCACATCTGAGAAGCTGGAACCAAAAGAATATTTGATGTTGTTGCTTGAATTAATTGATTTAAAGTTTTGATGCTCGGTTAATCATTTAACTTCTCTCCTCTAAACTGAATAAAACAAATAAATTAGCTTTGTTTAGGCTACATGATCACGCAGCGCTGGTTGTAACTGACTATCACTTTTCTGAAGGACTGAGGGGTGCAGGGTATCTCCTGGTTCTGTTTGTTTGTTGATCACTTATCCCATGAAATATTTGTGCGTGAGTTAATGTGACGTTTGAGAGCTGAGAACGAGTTAAAGGAACGTGTCACCTACTCCGGCGCTACATGGTGGTAAATCTGACCGTGCTTTCTCTCCTCGGCCCTCAGGTTGAATTCTCTTACCCTCCGCTGATGCCAGATGAGGGTCACGACAGTAACCTGCTGCCTGAGGAGTGGAAGTACCTCCCTTTCCTTGCTCTGCCCGACGGAGCGCACAACTACCAGGAAGGTACGTCTCCCCTGCAGTGTATGTAGTGGCATGTAAAGGCTGTTATTGTGCCATGGTTTTGTGATGTTTGACTGGATATCTCACCTCCAGCTTCTGGTCATTTTTTTGCTAATTGCAGACATTCTTTGGACCAAACACTGAATCGCTTAATTGTGAAAATGATTAAAAAGTCACTGGTTAATGTTCAAGTTCCTTTCCAGATATGTTTTAAACTATACCAGAATACTCTAATAGATTGTTAAACATGGTTTTCCCTCATAAAAAGTGGATAAAAATCTACATCTACACTTACTTCCTCATTGAGAATCAGACTTTGTGTTCCGCCCACCACCACTGCTTGTGCCGACCGGTGAAAGAGCAGTGTGTATCAGTATGAATAGCCACATGTTCGCGCCTCAGTCAGACCCAGACTCAGATGAGGAGTCTGTTGTGACCAATATCGGCATCTAGCAGATGTATCAGAATGGTTAGCGAAGTTAGCATCTTTTATTTGTTTATGTTGTTGTTGTTGTTAGCTTGTAACCGGCAGTAGCTGACAAAGTGTTAGGGGTTGTGACAACTCTCGCTCTCTGTACGGACAAGGTTTTGGGTTTATTGTACACACAGAAACAGTGTGAGCTGTCTGACCTTCAAACTGGTGTTTGTTCCTGCAGTAAGTTTCAGTGTAAAACCACAGCTTCATAAATCCCAGAGCTTCGACTTGATCGCTAGAGCTACTGAAGCACTTTTACTTTTGTGTTTTCGTGCAGTTTTAGGCACAGAAATCATTTCATGTTGATTATCCTAGGAGTTCAGTCATTTTGGGTTGTTTTTTTCCTCACATTGCCTGGAAATCCATCTGCACACCTCCACCAGTAAGGTACGGCAGCCTGAGAGGCGAAACCCAGGGAAAAAGAAACCCACAAATCACTCCGTGCATTTTCTGTAAAGCTCATTGCTGTGAGTAATCATTGAAGGCGACTTAGATAAGATGAAAATAGGATGACCATCTCCGTGGAAATTACAACCTTGACAACCAAGATTTTATGTTTTTATTTGGGGAATCTGTCATTGTGTAATTGTTGAGTATGATGAGTTAAAATTCAGTTCAAGTTTCTTAGTGCTGATTTTGTAAAAGCAGGTGTCACTTAGAAACCAGAGACAGTATCCAGGCTGTAAAGGGAGACCAGGACTCGGTGTTGGTGACAGTGAGTCGAACTGTCCTGTGTGTTGTGGCTGCTGTCATGTGACCAACCTGTGGTTCACTGCTGCTGTTCGTGCTGCCCCGCGACGGCAGTCAGGAGGAAATGAGGCAAAGTTCACATCTAGATTCAAAACTACAGCGATCAGCACCAAGTGTTTCTGATCTGATGATACAGGACAGAGGAGTTTCTCATTTCCTGCCCATGGTCAGCAGCTCTCTGCTGTTTTTCTGTCGGTCTACTCAGTGTTTGTGTGGCTCTGACTAAGGAGGGAAAAATGTCGTTTTTCATGCTGCATGAATACGCAGAAACTTCCCGGATGAAAAAATCGTCCAGCCTTTTTTTTCTCTCTCTCTTGCGCTTTTACTTTGGAGGAAGGAGAGCAGTTTAAAAGTTTTGCATCCAGCATGGTTGCAGGTTTATTCATCTTATTTTTAGTCCCTTGCAGGTTTCAGATCATTTTTTTTTTTGCATAATTCACAATTTTAATATTTTCTTCTCTGCACAGATGCATCACGACTAAAACTATTTGATCACTTGCAAGACTGTCATCATCATGCACGTGCTATGCATATTTTATATGTGTTATCCCATAGACTGCTATTATCTGCCACTACTGGATCCACCTATTAATTAAAGCACATTCCATTTGGAACTGCAACCATTAGACCATCAACAGAAAAGGAAAACATTTGCAGGTTCAAGGCTCTTGACAAAGTACGACATTTTAACGTGTGATTTTTGACTCCAGAACGTTGTTTTCTGATGATGATTAATTGATTAAAAATGAAAATAATTAGCAGGATAATCGGTAACAAGAATAATCGTTCGTTGCAGACCTATGGTCAGTATATATCAGCCCGAATAAAGCAAAATGCATCACAAATTTCCATGTCCTGCAGCTCATGATCCGACTCTTTCACAGTTTCTGTTTTACATTTCTAAAAAAAATCGAGGTGAATCTGAGCTGATCCCTGCTGTGTATTTCTTTAATCTACTGCTTGTGTTTGTGCTGCTGCAACATCAGACTGTCAGCAGTGATGTGACCGACTCCCTCTGCACTGCAGCTCACGAAAACTACAGTCCCTGAGGATGTGACTGGGTGTTGGTTGCACTGTAAATACAGTATACAGGCTCACTCCGCTGTCGACAATAAAGCAGCTCTGTTTAGGGTTTCACAGAATTATATGTCTCTGTTTCTGTCTCAGTTCAGTTCAGCAGGACCCTCTGCAGACATGTATGCACCTCAGCAGCAGCTTCCAGTGACTATTGGTGCAGAATTGTGAATCTGGAACAGAGAGTTGTGTTGCTGTCTTTTTGGCTCGTGCTGGTTTGGTCCATGTGCCGCAGCTGTGGCCTCGGTCCAGATGCCCCGTTGCTGCCTCGACTGGTTAATCTCTGATGTCCACAGTCCAACCTTTTCGACCCTGATGGCGACTCATCAGAGCAGATCTTAACCGCATTTTAAACTGCTCTTTGTCTCGTCCTCTGGTGGAATAAAGGGTCATAGTCATGCCATTTCCTTCACTGTTGCAGTGTGTTTCATTTTACTACTAGAAACTTTAATTATTGATAATGATCTTACTTGGATTCATGAACTTAAACAACCGTGAAATACTTAACATTATCGCTGACCATCCACCCAATCAAAGCATATAAGGTTTCAGATGAGTTCCCTTACTTCTACATGCAGTTAAGCATCAGTTTCTATTTATTTGCATGTTCCCACAGACTGGAAACAATGCTTACGCAGGTAATCCATCACAGTGACTATTTATTTTTATTGTTTCCTGTTTTTGTTTTTGTCATTTGGAACGCTCTAATAAACAATATTTGAGTGTCATTCACCAGAACAGCATTTTATTCGAGCGCTCTGTCTTTGGACAAACAATAAGCGAAGTTAGATGTGATTAAAAGGACAATATGAATTTCCTCATTTATTGCTGCAAAAAAGATCGGGATCTCATATGTCAGGAGTGTCTTTGAATGCACCACAATTGGATCTTGCTCTGAAATTAGTGCATGTTTAAAGCAGCATGATGTCACCTTCAAGCGAGTAAAGTGGCTGCAAATCAATTTTTAATGTGTATTAAAATGAACTGAAATGAGTGGCTGTTTGGAAAGTTGGAAATGCATTTAAAACTGTATGATGTGCTTTGGAAAATGCTCTGCAGTCGTGTTGTGCGAGTTGTAGCTAATAGACTTAAACATGCAGAACACCAGCCGTCGATGAGCAGCTGGGACATGTTTTCTTCAGGTCGCATGTTTATCCAGTTTGGCCACAGTGTTGAAATCCTGCTGTGCTGCAATATGATCATTTAAACAACTCTGCTCAGCACTTATGTGGCTGATTTTAATTCTCTCTGCTTTGTACCCACACTCTTACATAACCACCCCCTCTATCTCTCTCTCTGAACTTTGCATATCCTACTGTCAGGTGCATGTACTAATATAGGAGCTGAAGCTTTCTCTGCAGCGTGGGAACGGTGTGAGCTCCTAAACTGCACTCACACGTGACGCGTTTGCTGATTTTCGCTTTTGGTTGACACGTGTTTCTGCAGATTCTGATGGACGGTCCTTATGAAAGATTGTATGACACTCTATATTAAAGGTCCCATGTTGCATAAAGTGAGATTTCCATGTCTTTTTTGATTATAAAGCTAGGTTGTATTTTAATACTGTGAAAGTATCAAAACTCAGTCCACAGAGAAATGCACACAGCCTGTATTCAGAAACTGAGCCTTAAAACGAGCCGTCAGGACTTCTGTAACTTTGTGATGTCATAACATAGCAGGCTCCACTCTCAGCTATGCCTCAAGCCCCGCCCACCTGGACCCACCATTCGATCTGACAGGATTTGGTTTCTCTGAGCGTTTATCTGAAATCTGCTATATTTTTACTCGATCACTCAGAAAACAGTAAGCCAATCAGAAGAGAGGCTCAGAGCCTCCTCTCTTCTGATTGGCTTACTGATCTATTGTTGCTAATCCTGAATCCTGAGAGAGGAGATGTAAAACTACACTGAGATGGTTTTTGGTACTTAAAACCACAAATCCATCTTCTAATGATTATTAAAAAAAAAAGTGTAAAATTTGGGACCTTTAAAATGACAGATCTTCCTGTTTTGCAGACACGGTGTATTTTCACCTGCCGCCGCTCACTGCAGACATGAAGTGTGTGTACGGAGTCTCGTGTTATCGCCAGATAGAAGCAAAGGTCAGTCCACATACATTTCCTTTTAATTCCGGAAGCCTTGATTTTGTTCTCTGTCGTAGTATATACATATTGTGTGGCCAAAAGTATGTAGACACCAGTAGCAGAAGACGTATTCAGAGATTAGCATCAAAATATATGCAAAGAATCAAAAAGTAGAAGAAAAGTAATGCAGCAGTTTTGGAGTGAAATGTTTCCCTTTTCACACAAGGGTGCAAAGTTTGGGTGTCCACATGCTTTTGACCATGAGCTTTGTTTATTGTTATGCACATCATTGTTCTCTTCTTCGTTTGTGTTTATGATGGGAGTTTTGATTTGAAGCATCCAGAGGAAATAAAATGACAACATCTATTGTCTTATTTTAGTCTCTTGTGACATTAGCATGAGTTTGTCAGGAGGTCATCTGCAGAGCAATTACTCACACAGCGTCCTCATTATGTTTGGCTTGTGGTTTAATATATATATATTAATATTAAAAAAAAAATTGTTTTAATCCCTCTTCAGGCCCTGAAGGTTCGGCAGGCTGACGTCACCAGGGAGACGGTTCAGAAGAGCGTCTGCGTCCTCAGCCGAGTGGTGAGTCAGTCAGAGGACGACGCTGTTATCTCGCAACGTAATAGAAAAAAGATTTGATTTCAGGCTCAGTAGCTTTATGAGCTGGAGCTAATCAAATAAAGGTTCAAGTAACTGGGCCCTGAAATACTGTCGTGACCTCACTGTGATGGGGGAAAGGGCAGAGAGAAGGCTTTTCATTTCCAGGCATCCTCACATCTAGTTTTCAGAAATGAATCCAGCGAGGCTCTATGGTAACTGTCTCTTCTCATTTGAGGTGAAGAATCTGCATGTCGAGTCCCTGAAGTAAATTTCATTTAACGGTATAAAGTATAAAGTAGATTCAACATGAATGCTGGATGAGACATTAGATATCCTTTAATTATGAGGATATTATCACGTTTTATTCCTCAGTCTTTAGTCGTTAAACAGGGATCAAGAAGCACATGCTGTTTGGACTCATGATCGAGTGTTGCTTTTCCTGTGATGAGGCATTAGCCTGCCTTAGGTTTTTGTGGCTCATACTGTAACTGACTCACACACACGGTCTGCTGCTGACTGTTTGTTTTGATCCACAGCCTCTCTACGGTCTGCTTCAAGCGAAACTACAACTCATCACACACGCATACTTTGAGGAGAAAGACTTCTCGCAGATCTCTATTCTGAAGGTGAGACTTTTGTGCACGTTTTGTTGTTGCTGTTCGACATCCCTGTCGTCACCTCCACTCACCTCCCGTCTCCTGCTGCGACCCTGCAGGAACTCTACGACCACATGAACGGCTCTCTGAGGGGCTCCACTCTGGAGGGATCGCAGGTTTATTTAGGTAAAACTTCAAATTTCACACATCTGCAACTTTGCACTTTAACTTTTCAGGCTCACAGTTACACATCACAACCTGCCCAGTGTGCACATGTGAGACACAAATTCAAGCTTTTGATTTTTTTTGCACCTTTTCAGGGATTTTAGTTCAATAAAGTATAAGAAAAAAGCTCAAAATTTGAGACTCTTTTAATTGTGCAGTTTTCCAGTCAAAAAACGAGCCAAAAACACACAGTTTTGCTTTGTTTTGTATTTTCAGAGATGTAAAAATTCTTCAAACCGACCATATTTGTTGTTGTTTGTGTCGCGTCAGGCCTTTCGACCGCGTGACTGCTGCTAACTGCACAAAAATGTTCATGCATTTTTCTCTGAGGGTGAATTCCACACGTATTGATGCCCATGTTTGTTTCCTCTCCTCAGGGTTATCACCGAGGGATTTAATACTGCATTTTCGACACAAGGTAGAAGATGATGGCTGTGAAGATCATTTTAAAAAGAGTGTAATATTCTCTGTTTGTACGGCATCAGTAATCCGGAAACGTCTTCTTACCTTCGCAGGTTCTCATCCTCTTCAAGCTTATCCTGCTGGAGAAGAAGGTGCGAATAAACCCAACTTGTCCAACTTGTTCTGTAGTTATTCACTACTTTTGAAATGTGACTCTATGTGTCTGTTTTTTTTTCTGGCTCATGTTTGCAGGTCCTGTTCTATGTTTCTCCTGTCAACAGACTAGTAGGAGCTCTGATGACAGTTTTATCACTGTTTCCAGGTCAGTAAAAGAAAAACGTGTCTGACAGCTTCACTCCTCCTGCATGACACATTAGGAAAGGGTGGTGCATAGGGTTAGTTTATTTAAATCCACCTGTGCAGATAATATAAAAACTGAGGGGAAGAGAGACATGAAATGCAGTCTTGAAAATATCTTAACATAATAAGTATGAATCCATGTGAGAGAGGAATCGCTTCAAAGACCTGCAGCAAAATTCAAATTATTAATCCACCAGCAAATTATTAATAGAAGCAGAGGAGCCTGAGAAAATCATATTAGGCTTAAAATCCCTTTGGAAATCTGGAGCTGCTGTATCTCAGCAATGCACACCTCCACCTTTTGTGGCCTTATAACCTTAAAAGGTGATAATACATCAATGATGTGTTCACAGCAAAAAGCAGAAAATGAGTAATCCAAAGATTTTAAAGGGGTGCTCAAATGGAAAATCAGGAAATCATTTCATGTATCTGATTTGTGCAGGTATGATCGAGCACGGCCTGGTGGACTCGTCACACTACAGACCCAAGAGCAGCGTGTCGGAGGACCTGAGCCTGGTGGAGAGCATCTCCGGAGCCGAGGAGTTCGTGTCTGTGTCCGTCACCGACATCGCCAACACCACCCTGGAGCTGGAGGTGGAGGAGACCGTCCAGCCCGCTGCAGAGTCCCTGTCCTCTGGGAACAGCACAGAGGGGGACAATCACCTCCTCAAACCCCCATCACGTACCTCTCCAGACTCCTCAGAGAGCGACTGGGAGACCCTGGACCCCAGCGTGTTAGAAGAAGGTGGTGCTAAAGAGGCAAGTGAGGGGAAAGAGACGGGGTTGGAGCAGCTACAGGACGCCTTCGACTCCAAACCAGGAACGCCCATCACTGTGCAGCCGCAGGCGGCCGGTGGTCAGGGAGGGGTCACCCAGGGCCTGTTGTCTGGTCTGGAGGAGGACCAGTACGGGCTGCCACTCCCCATCTTCACTAAGGTAACTACAACTGCTGATTGACTACTGATTATTTTCATTATGTCTCAGATTTTATACATAGCAATCCAAAACATTGTTGCCAGAACCCGAAATGATATCTTCAGTTTTCCTTTTTTTGTCAGACCAACAGTAGAAAACCCCAAAATCTCGAATTTACATAAGATATAAAACAGGGAAGGGTTCGTTTCTAAATAAATGATATAAATAAATGTTTGAGAATCCATTTTGGATTGAAACTCTGAAGTCATGTTTCCTCATTGAGTTTTGGAGAAAATCTGTTTGTGATCAATATTAGTTAATAAATAACCAATAAAGACAAGGCCACAGCCAACGCCTCCCACTCATCAAATAAAAACCTGTGTGTGTTTTGGTCCAAAGAGGATATTAGTTCAGATATAACCCTCGGAGAGCTTGTGTTTGTGTTGGGTGTGTCCTTCCACTGAAATCCTACCCCACATCGGTCCAGGCAGCGGGGTGGAGATAAGCACCTGACCTTTGCCTGTTGTTGTTGCTAGGGTTACCTGTGTCTGCCCTACATGGCCCTGCAGCAGCATCACCTCCTATCAGACGTAGCGGTGCGAGGCTTCGTTGCCGGGGCGACCAACATCCTCTTCCGCCAGCAGAGGCACCTCAGTGATGCTATTGTTGAGGTAATAATATATAAACTGAGTATGAACTGCTTTATTTACTTTTAATTTAACCTTCCTTAAAGGTTCCTGAAAGTAAATACTGTACGTTTTTCGGCGTTGTAGGTGGAAGAAGCTCGTATCCAGATCCAGGACCCCGAGCTCCGAAAGATCCTGAGTTTGACGACGGCAGACCTGCGTTTCGCCGACTACCTCGTCAAACACGTGACGGAGAACCGCGACGACGTCTTCTTGGACGGGACGGGCTGGGAGGGCGGAGACGAGTGGATCAGAGCCCAGTTCACCCTCTACCTCCACTCATTACTGTCCTCTGCACTACAGCAAGGTGGGTCCCTCACCTATATTTATTGTGTCTTTTTCCCTCTCTTTTGACACTTACGACAATAGACTCAGCACAACTAAAACATCAGTCTCAGAACTGTGTCTGTTTTTCCTGTAATTAGAACAAATCTCCACAGTTTTTCCAGGAAAATCTTAGGTAATAACGAACCTGTGAAATAAAGTCTCTCTTTTTTTTTTTTTACTTCAGCTGCTTAGAGCAGATTTTCCAAAGCGTGTGTATGTTTTTAGATCAATGCTGTATCATCTTCAAACTGCCAATTGATTTCCATTCATTCCACTACAATAAAAATGTAATTTTCATCTTATATATTATTTACCCTGCTTGCAACTGTAGTACAATATTATGATAATTGAACCTGAGGGAGGTATTAAAGTCATTTTTAAATCAATATAGTTCATATTAATCTATATATCATCCAGTCATACAGTATATATTCATATCCTACACTATCTCTAACATTAGGCGGCCCATATAATCTTATGACATTTATTTTGTCTACATCGTTGCTGCTACACCACTGCCTGTCTCCAACAGTTTTACAGCCTCCACCTCTGCAGCCTTTGTCCTGTCAGTGTAGCTTCAATTTGTAAAGTGAATTTAAAATATTTCTCAAGCTCAGGGAACAGCTTTGTGAGGTGGCTCAGCTTTGTTTCACGCCGCCAAACTAATGTGGATATTATTGTTGCAATAAATGGTTAAAACTAACTAACTAAAAATATTCACTACGTGTAAGCTGATTTCCAGAAACACTAATGAGCTGAAGGTAGTGAGTACATAATGCTGAATGTCCTCAAATGAAACAGGCAGCGTAATGTGCATACATTTCTGGAAGTCTAAAAGTTTCCTGTGCATGTTTCGTTCTCTGCTGCTGTAAAGTTACACTCTGTTTTTCTGGCTTTGTTTTCTTCACTGTCAAATTGGTTTTAACTTTTATTTCCAGGAAACATTAAAAAGGTTAAAAGAGCTTTAATTGTGTTTTCCATTCATGTCGGACTGAGTACTAATACTAGTTGTATTTTGAGCACGTCGTGTTCAGAGGCATCACTAATTATGATTGGAGCTGTAATCACTGCGTCATGTGTACCCACTGCGATCATCACACATAATTACTTTGTAGAGAAAATGACAGTAAATCCAGTTATGCTGCTTAATGGCGTTCGCTGACTCCTTCGCCTGTCTCTTGTTTGTCTTGTCACTGTGCAGATAATGAGCGGCTGCTGGCTGATTACGGCGCTCCTTTCATCGCAGCCTGGAAGATCAGCCACAACTATCGGGTGTGGTACAGCAACAAGCACCCCGCCATGACCGCCATCACCCCAGGGTACGTGGACAGGACGGAAAAATGTGCCAGGCACTTTGGGGAAAAAAAAGAACATATTTTACTCTGAAAATCCGTTTTTTGCCTTTTAAGAAAGTAAATCAAATGTTAACCTTAAATGTTAAATTAAGTCTAAAAACAAGCAAAAAATTGGCTATGTGTTGATTTAAATCAGGAACTATCTACTCAACAATAAGTAAGATTATGAATCTGACCAGATATTAAATACCAGTTCTTGGTGCTTGCCAGTTTTGGGAACTACACGCTGTATATACAGTGATGTTTGAGTGCAGTGTTCATTTACAGCACAGAATGAGGAGAGAAAACAAATTCAGTCTTTAAAAGTGCGTAATTATGCTCCGAATAGCAGAGAGAGATATCAATTGATTCAAATACATTTATAATGCAAATTTCATTTTTTTGTGATATTTACGTGATATTTATTGAAGTTAAGGTAATGTTCGCAGTGACTCTGTTGAAACCAGACTGTATTTCTCAAAATGAAAATCTACATACATATAAGTGATCCCTGCATTTCCCTCTCTGTTGCAGACACCCATTCCAGGGGCAGTACAGTGTTGCTGATGTGAAACTACGGCTTTCACAGTGAGTATTCTTTCATCTCCCGCTATTTACAGGACAATACATAATAGCTTTAATGTTCACTCAAGTGGAAGTCTGTCTTTGACTTCACCTCAGCAGCATAAAACACTGAGACACAAGTTCATTGTATTTGTTTTTTTTTTTTGTTTTTTTTGTTTTTTTCTTCTTTGCTGTAGTTCAGTCGAAACAGTGCCCCGCCAAAACCTGCGTGTTGTCGCCCTCATGTGGTGACAAGATGAAATGCTGTAAATTCAGGAAGTGACATTTGATAGGTTCCGCAGCTCTCACTTTCAATAGTTGAGTGTCCTGCTCCTTTTAAAAAGAAAGCTGTAAAAACTCAGCATAACACATTTAAATAAGAGGCGTCCACCCACTGCACATTATCTGGGGTCAACTATAAATTTCACCTTAATTAATGCCTTTATAAAAAAAATGAAACTAAAAACAAATTAACATAGAGTTGGGTGATAGAAGAAAGATTGCTGCTGGTCATTCAGACATGGCAACAAGGAAAAGTCGAACACGATAACAAGTGGTAACTAATACAAAATGTTAAATTAAAAACATAAACTAAATTGATTATCACCCTCAAATAGTAAGGAAAAGTGCTTTTATTTTGGAGGAAATGGAATAATGAATGGCAGTGAGCAGCCTCAGTTTGTTTGGATCTGAGACGTCTGATTTTAATGTAGTCATGGTGGCAGCGAGGGTCTCGTATCAGCTAAACTCATTAATTATGAGCGAGTTTCATTCTCAAAAACAGAGCCGGAGACTTCTTCAGCTTCGGCTCCGGTTTCATTCGAGGAAGTGTGGATGAAAGATGACTCCGTCCACAGCTGGAGCGCCGCTTCTACTGTTACACGTCGGATAAATGCCCCCACCACACACACACACACACACACACACACACACTAACACATACACACCCACACAGAGGGAGAGTCGAGTGTGTCTCCGTCCCTAACTTAGCTTTATGGTGAGAACACGGGCAGATCTGCCTGGCTGTGATACTCGCTGCTCTCACTTTACCTTCAGGGGTCTGGTGACACGGCCGCCGTGAACTTTGTCGTGATGCGTCAGTAAACAAACACACAGACAAACAAACTGTGGAGGAACCTTAAACTGGGTTAGGTTTAGTTTTGCAGCACATTAAAATCAGAAGTGGAATAAAAACTAAGATGAAAAAGAACAAGAGGGTGTGAACGAAGAAAAAACTGACTAAGAAATTTTACAGCATTTTTAAGAATCAGAGTTTGATAAGTGCACAGAAAATACAGCACTGTAAAATTTATCAGCAATGTCTGGGAGAAGCTGAACATAGAGAAATAAACCAAAATATAAAAGTAACAACATAAAACCATCAGAGTAAAACTATAAAAACTACCTGTTCGCTTAGAAAAACAATTGCATCATGTTTTCCACGTGAAAGTTAGCCAATTAATCAATTAGTCGATTGATTAATTCATCATTTAAGCCATTTTTGAAGCAACAGTGCCAAAAAATTCATTGATTTTCTTTGTCCTCTATATGACAATTAGTCAAAAAAACAGCAATTTCACGATGACAGCTTGGGCTCTGGGAAACGATTAATTAAGAAAATAATCAAAAGGTTATTCGACAGTGAAAATAGTCGCTGGTTGTCGCCCTGATTAAAAAATTAATTACTTCTCTACAAACTGCCTGAAACTGCCTGGGCCTCTGGGTTCTGGGCTCTTGGGTAGTTGCTCGGTTGGTAATCCAGCCCTGATTTCAACCCTGCACTTACTACATCTCACAATGATTGAAGATTTGAAGAGTGCTGACCATGTCAGAGCCGTCTCCTCCATGTTGTTTTCACGGTCCAGGAGGAGGTTAAAGGGGCACTGCTGGCTCACCGCTCCCCTCGCTGTACTATAAAACTCCTCATAATACCCGATATAGTTTTGGGGGGTGGGGGGGGGGTTGATCAGGGGGTTCAGGCAGGAATTCTGGCACTGGGCCATCGAAGCTTCTCAGGATTAAACGCGTCTCATTTCCTGCCTCAGCTTTGTGTCAGAGCAGGCCTCCAAAACAGGAGGGGATTCAGCCGGTCTGAAGAGGTGTTTGTGTGCGTGCGTGTGTGTGCGGGCGCGTGAGGTTTGTACACGTGTTCTCTAAACGGAGACGCGAGGGCACGGCGGCAGATAAACAGCTCAGTCTTCACTGCAACCTTGAACACCAGAGACGAGTGTTTATTGACTGTCAGGAGCTTTGAGCCTCGCAGACATCCTCTGAGGGATGGTGAAATCTTTGGCAGTACGAAAAACGAACGCAGTTATTAAATCCAAGAATACCCTGTGAATAATAAGGAAGTGCTGATGAGCATTTATTCTTAACGCTTACACCATTTTTTTTTTTCCACTGTACATGTAGAAACCAGGTTCAGCTTTCATATGCTGATTAAAATGAGTTAATTTGACAGTTTTGTTAAATAATAATAAAATAATATCTAACATATAAGCTCCATACAGGCCACACAGAACACAAGTAATGTTCCTGTGGTTAAAAACAAATAGATATTAAATAAAATAAAAACTGCAACAATAAGACAAAGTGCAAAGCTCTGCAAGGAACTAAGAGGCAGTTTATGGTGCGTCAAAGTAAATTTTTATGATGTTAGCAGAGGTGCTCCTATGGATGGATTATGGGACAATGGGCCCCCGGGGACAGACATGTAAAAAGCCCACAACCCCTCATACAAAGGAATGTTTGCAGCCATTTTGAGTCTCTTTGTAGTCATTTTGAGTATTTTTGTGATCATTTTTTGTCTGTTTGTAGTTGTATGTGTCTGTTTTAGTAACACTTAGCCGGGAAAGCCCTGGGGCCTTATCCCCTTTGGGCCCCTCGGCTTGTGCCTGGTGGGCCCGTTCAGTAATCCATCGATTGTTTACCTCCAGAAAATAGGAAAAGAAACATATACTGTATCAGTACTAATGGATTCTATTATAGCAAAGCGTTGTAATACAACTAAGATGAACTCAATTTGCTTTGCTTGTTGACTTTTCTTCCTTCATTTGATTTTTTTTTTTTTTTCTTTGGTGTCCATCAGCCATCAGACATTTTCCTGGCCCCTAAGCGCTGCCTTGTTGCCTCTCGTCAGTCAGGGGCAGCAGAAATCTCCCTCTGTTTTTCCCTGCGTCAGTAAACATGGAGCTGTTTTGCAACTTGAGATTGGACATCGGGGGGGAAACTGGGGTTAGTAGGACAGACGGTGACTGCTCTGATGCATCCCACTTGTCAGGATGCTGGTTGAGAAAGTAAAAGAGGAAAGCTGAGTCCATCCACTCTGCTCAGTTCGTCACTCTCACTTCACATGATGGTGAAGCTCTTGATCTCACTGCTGCTGCCCCTGACATTTTTGTGCCACCTCCCTGCTATTTATGCTCTCTGTAAAAAAAACAAAAAACAAAAAAAAAAACTAGGCCCTACGCTTGACTTCCTTGTGAATGTGCTGTGTTGCATGTGTATTATGGAAGCACCGGGGGCTAACACAGCCCACCCTTTTCATGCTTCCTCGTCATCAGTGTCGGACAAAGAGCAGCCGGTGGCAGAGATGTTCTCAAAAAACAGTCATGTGACGAGCTGCACGGCTGCAGGCACACACGCACTGTTAGAGGAGCTTTCTTTATTGTCAGTGCACCACACTACTCTACATAAGGAGCTGTTTATTTGGGTCAGCCAGTGAGATGGAGAGTCAGTGTGTCCGCTGGGCTCCTCTCTGAGCTAACAGAGCATGTAGCTCAGGGGAAATAACTGCTTTCTGTTACCATGAGGTTGTTGGAAACCAGTCTGAAGCTGGGTGGTATTAGAAGAAAGTTTAAATGTGATCATTTTACCACACTGTTTCCATTATTCCACCCAAATTTCCTTTCAGCAGCATGAAGGTTATTAACATTTTTTCCATGCTGCAGTATGTCACACGGAACAGTGCATTTAAAACATGGCTCTAGATGTCTTTTGTTATATATAAACATAGATATAACACATTTGAGTTTTGAGATCTTGAATGGAAGCTAAAGTTAAAGGCCCATATGACATTCTTTGTGTATAAGTATACAGGCAAAACCAATAAATAATAAAAAAGTACAAACAGCTTATAAATAAAGGATGAAAAATGCTTAAAATTGCATAAAATAAATAAAACATTAATGTGAGCATTTGGAGAAAAATGAGATTCAAAAAAAGAGAAAATATTAACGGTCTGTGATTCGGTCATAGGTACAAGGCCGCTGGCTGAGTACCGAAGACTGGACTGTTGCTAAGCAACACATAAACATTTTCCTGACCTGTACGTGCACACTAGCTTTCTACTTTGTCAACATGTTACCTCAGGAGTGCGCTGAAGTATCCAGGCTCCTTCCCTTCACCCTCTTCTGACGACCATACACCATTTAATTCAAATGTTATTTCTGGAAATATTTTCTTGCATCTTTGCAAAGTTTGCTACAATCTAAGATAGATAACAACCGTTCATGTAACGCTAATTAGCGGTTAATTGAACACCTGTGAAGCGGGGTGATACATGTAGTTAAAAGGTGTTGTACTCTATATCAGCACTCACGGAATGCCTCTCGTCCAATCAAATTACTTAGTCGGAATTAACTGCTGTATAATGCAGCATATTGGCATTGACCAGTGACCTCATCAGTACTATACATATATATTATGGTAATATTTTGTTATTGAGCATAAAAAATGACTTAAAGACACAATATGTAGAATTTGAAAATGAGTGCCCCTCAGTGTGCGCATCAAACAAGATGCATATCAAACATGGACAGAGCTCCAGTTTTTCTTGGAATAGTCTAATTTAATTCAACAAATAGTGGCTTTGAGCAAAGTGATTAAAAAAATACGAAGGCTCTCAGCACTGCTGGGAACGCACAACAGCAGGTCTCGTACTTTGAAAAGAAAGACAAAAGGAAGTTGGCACAGTGAGGACAGATTCCTGGTGGACGTGCAGCCGTGGAGCTGGATTATTGATCCTAGCAACAAGCGCCTAGCAACCACAGCTTGTTTGGTGGATCCACTCGGAGGACGGCCGTCTGACTCCGAGACGCCACAGAGGCAGCGAGTGGCGGTGCCAGTTCACGCTCCACCGGGCTCGGTCTGCACAGAGCGGTGTCATGTTGATGCTGTAGTCAGATAAACACTGTGTGTGTGTGTGTGTGTGTGTGTGTGTGTGTGTGTGTATGTGAGTGTGTGAGTGTGTGAGTGTGTGAGTGTGAAGGAATGACATGACAGCACACACACACACGCAGCTCTCACGTTCTCTCTGGTTTTTAGTTTCATATACAGACTTTACACCGTGCAGGTCTCTTTTAGATGAGCACTGACTCTTGGCTTTGACAAATTAGATTTATTTTCCCTCCATCAGTTGTATTTGTTCTGTCATAGAATATTTAGGAAGGAGACGGCGTCATTGTCTCTGACAAGATGAAATCTGCAATTTTCCCTTTGTGTTTGAATCAATTTTCTTTCCTTTTGTTGCAAAAGCAGTCAACATGGACCAATATTCACCTTGGTCTTTGAGTGATTTCTGCTGCTTCACGTACAGTGCACAGGATTGTGCTGAAATCTGTCATTTATTTGAATCTTAATTCTAATTTGAAAACAAATCTTAACAGTTTGCGTCTATGTAAGGTATTTTTTTTTACTGTTCTCGGCTACACTATTTTCAGTTTATTCAGTTTTTGCTCATGTGTCTTATTTGTTTCATATATTATTTTTTACTTTATCCTATTTTATTATTTCTTAATTTGTTCTTTTTAAGAAGATCGCATCTGTCTTTTTTCTTTTCAAGCTAAAATATTGAAAAAATGCCAAAATATTTGCAGATTTCAGCCTCTCAAAAGAGAATATTTGCTGCTTTTCTTCATACAATTTCCAGCAGCTATTGTGTCTTAACATTCATTTTCCCACGACTGTTGGGTTGGGCCATAATAAGAATGATATTGTGTTGTCTGACTTTGGAAGTAAAGCGATTAGTTATGGAGAGAAAGCAGCAAAACATCTGCTGCAGCATGAGGTCACCATTAAAGAAGCATCAAAGAAGTTTTCTGCTGTTTTTTTTGCAGGACGTTCGCGGCCATAGGAGTAACACTGTGCTAGCGTCGTCTTGGCCAAAACAAATAGAAAAACTCAGAGGCTTTTGTTCTCATTGTGTCTCATAGATACGCTGCAAACTCAGTGTGACAGCTCACTGTTATGATCCTCAAAGGTAACAGGTTACTTCAGGCAGCTGCACTGTAGTACAGTTCACAGTGAGTTTATTTTCAGATGAAATAACTGGCTCATTAGAGGGTGTGAAGGCTCTGAGTGTTCGAGTGACAGACGTCTGTGCTCGGCAGCTGCTGACACGTATCCCCGTGGTCTTTTTTAACAACGCGGCCGTTTTCCCAGATGATGCAGGAGTGAGATTCCTTCTGAATGTCAGCTCAGTGGGGATCCATGTGAAAGGTTGCGCGTTGGACACAACACCAGGCTGCTGTGCGGATAAAGCCGGGTTGGGGCTGCATTTAGCCATCCATTCGGTGTGAAACGTTTGCCACTCGTTTCCGCTCTCAGGTCAGCTCCGATCATTAGATGCGTCACCTGTGACTGCTGCTCAGCCTCTCCTGTTACATAATCCAACCTCTAAGAGGTCGGCGCAACATTTAGCAGCAGCACTTTTGTGTAGTTTGTTTCTTGGAAAGGAGGAAGAATTCCAACAATGTCACACCAGAGACAGAAAGGTGAAGGCAGTGCATGATTTCTGGTTTGGTGAACCTTTTGTTTTCTCTGTTTTCTCTCCGTGTCCGCTGCAGCTCGGTGCAGAACAGTGAGCGAGGGAAGAAGATCGGAAACGCCATGATGACCACCAGTCGCAGCGTGGTCCAGACAGGGAAGGCAGTGGGTAAGAAAAGCACACAAACCAGTTCCTAAGTTAAAACCCATATGAGACATGGAGGGAAGATATTGACACTGTCAAGCAGTCTGATGATGCTGTTACTCAGGGTAGTGCCCTGGAAGTAAGATAGTAAGATGAAAGACATGAGCGTCTTGCTGAGTGTTTCATTCTTCAGATCCTGAGCATGCTGAACCAAACCAAATAAACCAGAGATTCCCAAATATTATACTGGTTGGTGTGTTTTCAACTCCATTTCTCTACAGCCCGCCTACAACTAAGTGAAGCACAGCCACTGATCAGGGTGTAATTTGTTCCTTCCTATAAGGTGAAACAAAGCTAACAGCAGAGCGAGGTAAATCAATTAAGTGCAGTCTTTACACACCCACACAGTCCTAAGCTGAAGTCTATAAACCAGAATTAGTCAAATCACCTGTGTGGGTGGACCAAAGGTGTGCAGGGTTTTTAAAGACACTTCCATCAGACATGGCTAACCAGACAGTTCTTCTTTTTATTTTAATCAATCTGTAAATGTAAAGAGCATTCGTTTTCTCTAAGAGAGAGTTACCTGTGTCACTGTTGTGTATGATCACTTAGCCCAACGAAAAGAAAACAGACCTTTATTTAAATGAGTATGTCACAGAGCACCTGCTTTGCAAGTAAAATCTCTTTCTCTTCCTCAGGTCAGTCAGTGGGCGGAGCGTTGACCAGCGCCAAGTCGGCCATGTCCTCCTGGTTCTCCACACTAGCCCAGCCTGCAGCTGTAACCCCCCCGGCCTCTCCTGAGCCTGCCACTGAGGTCAAACCGTGACCAGCCCCCCCCCCCCCCCCCCCCCCCCCATGTCATCTTCTGATCCTCTGGCTACTGTGGAAACCTGAGGGTCAGCGGTCTGAGAGCTGGTGTCATGAAGGATGTGAGCAGGAAAATCTATGTCTAAACCATAAAACCCGATGGTCACAACCCTGATTGGATTCTGGGCTTTTTCCAGCATCATATTAGCGGGATGCCACTCTGGACAGTAAGGGAGTGATGCCGTTATATTAACTGTACAGTCCATATCCACTGTGAGGCAGAGACTGCCAGCGCTTTTAATCAAAACCGGAATTTTTCAGCAGGCTGCATCATGTCTGACAACCTGTTTCTCACTGCTGCAGCTTGCATTGCTGAACACTTTCCTGTGAGACACTAAAGATGCTGTCGTTGGGTTTGCGGTGTTCACTCTTTGCTGCGCATTTCTAGAGTTTGTCTATATTGCAGACTATTTTGTTGACAAAGTAACTATGTAAGAAATATAAATCAGTGTCACAGGATTTGACAGAAGAGCATGAGCTGTGGCACCTATGAAGATTTTAATGGTTTAGATTCAAAATTCAGTCTGGCTCATGTTTGATGATGCCTCTGTAATAACATTGTGGTTGTCTCTTTAACAGCTTGATTTTATTTATTTATTATTGTTATAAATGTAATATTTTTGGGGTTTTGGACTTAGTCGGACAAAACAAGGAATTTAAAAACTTCTATGAACCCACAGAACTTGTACTAAAAGGTTATTAGACAAGTCAAAAATTTACAATACATAAATAAAAATATTGTTAGCTAAATATTTAGCATAGAGGCTAAATATAAAGAGTAAGATTTTCCTTTAACCTACAATCGGTAGCTAAAGCCTTTTAACTAGCTAGAAAATGCTAAGAAAGGTGGCTAGGTAATGCTACTTAAAGGTTTACAGTTTAATGCTTGACATTTTGATTTTTTTCCAATGTGGTTTTGATGACAACAAGAGAGATTAACTTATGAAGATAGAAGCATGGTGTCTGTAAACTCATGTCGGCTAACTAACTTTGGTAGCTTGCTCCCTAAAATGTGTTAGCTACTGCTATGTGAAAAATAAATAAATAAAAATAAAAACATGAAGGAGTAAAATGTAGAATAAGCAAGTGAAAGATAAATAGAAGAGTAAAATAAAGTTTTAATTGAATTTAACCACCAGTTTTTTCAGTTAAGCTAACTAGCCTCACAGATGTCTCAGTTGATCCGCTGATGAAGAAAACGAAAAATATTGGGTGTGCTGATTCAAAAAAGGACCTAGACTTTCTTACTCTTGTTCGCACACAACCAAACACATAATACTATGACAATGCAATTACAAAATTTGAACGCTGTTACTGAAATAACCAAAATGTTATTACATAAATCCTTGTGATCCTAATGCCTGAATTTGTGCCCTGATAAACGTGATAAAACCACCCTTAATTATGAAGGAACCTGCACCCAGCTGTATGTTTGACAGGGTGTTATTAACCCTCACCCAGGCCTTTTTGTACTTTGCTGTCAGTATATATATTGGGAGAACTATATTTAGTAAATCTGAAGACATTATAAAGTCAGATAACTTATTTATTTGTTGTGTACGAACTTGTTATCTCATAAATATCCATGTTTTGTTATGGCAACACTGGAACAAGTCCTAATCTGTGGACCACTGTGTGTATTTGCACAAAGCAGCCATTATATTCTATTTATGTGAATCTTTATCTTGTATAACTGTAATTTTGAGGTGCTTACAGGATCTTTTCCCTCCATGCTACAAATATTTGACAACTGTTGGATTAAAGTGGTCCAGTGAGCATGTTCTGTCCAGTCCAGTTTTACAGCTGTAATCAGTGTCATCCTGCTGTCTTTAAAAACGTTTTGAACATTTGCTCTTTTTACTTTGTTCCTCGCGCTTTTAAAACCTCTTCAGCCATTGACTCATTTCTGGAATTTGCTTTCGATTTCTGGATTATGTTTGAGAGAATATCAGCTATTAAAGCTGCTTTTTTGTTTCTTTTTTTACCCTCTGATGATATATTTTTCTTTTTGTATTTAAAAGATATGAATGTATTGTGAATTGAAATTCACAGAATATTTTCTTGACAGATGCTTTTAATGTATTTGAGAAGAAAGTGATACTATATTATATTGCTGTATTAAAAAAAATTATTAAAATACCGCAGGGTTTTATTTTTAGTGGAACAATTCTTTTATTCGTCTGGGTTCGTGTCTGTGCTAAAATGTAGGTCAGCCAAACAAAGTGGTGGCAAATGTGTGTTCGTAGAGGGGGTTGTTGTTGTGGTGGTAGCACAAGGCCGGACAAAAATGCACTCATGTGCTGTCCAACAACAATTCAGCAGCATCACAGGGACATATGAACCCAGCGACGTCAGGGTTAGCTTTAGCCCGAGGCAAGCAGAAACTCACACCCAGTGATCCTGACTGACAGCCAGTACAGACGGCCTCAGCGACAGGGTCAGGATAGTTCTCATCACTGTTTCATACATTCATTTTACTTTAATTTTCTTACTTGTGCCTCATGAGCAGCCAAAAACCCCAAAAGTATTCAATTTATGATGATGTGAAACAGAGGAAAAAAAACCCACATTTTCATTCAAAGATCTTAAGTCAGCAAATACTTAATATACTAATATACTTTTTTTTGTAAATAAACTAATCAATTCATCAACAAATAGCTTCAGCATGTTTTCAGCTTCAAAGTTGGAGCATAGCATCTAGCGCTATTTTGTTGTTTATCTGCCAATTTTGCAATTACACTTCAGTGATATGACAATGAACTAGTTGACTGAAGAAAAAAATGAACTAACCGTTTGCCGAACTGTGTCACCATAGGATGTGGGAACTTGTGATGGACACAGTTTGACATCTTATGTGCTTTACTTTTCTTTTAATTTAACAAAAGAAGCCAAACAGACACAAACTTCATACTGTAGGACAAACGAAACACGGAGTCAGTTTCAGGAACGTTTTTGGTATGTTTTTTAATAAATTAACGTTCATTCAAAATACAGTGCCAAAGGAATATGATGCAGCCAAACATGCTAGTAAGGGTTTGTCATGAAGCACCTGTGCTCATGTTTTTAAGGTAGGAGGAAGACCCCTTCCCTCCCCAACCCGCCCCCCTCCACTACTGCTAGTGGTTGCCGGGACGATTTCCATAGCAACAGCCCTGGGCCAGCCCTCTCTTCTCACAACCAATCAGCAGCAAGAATCCTCAATATTCACTCAGAAAAATTAAATCTGATAGGAAAAAATGGATAGCTACCCACAATCACACTACAGTAATGTCTGATATTAAATTAAAAAAGACACTAATACAAAATAGACCTGGTTATTTTCCCCACACTAAAACAGTTGTCTTTTAAACATATGAAAAATATATATTTCATTATATATATATTTCAGCAGCTTGGAAATAAAAAAATGCATGAGCCCGTAACCTATGTTTGTACTGAGAGTGGAGTTGTGTGTATTTGCAGAGACCCTCGTGGAAAGAAAAACACAAGTATCATGATCATGTGACGATGGATAGAGTGAGGTGTAGACTGCTGGCTGTGTGGAAGACCTGTGTGCAAACACACTGACAGACAGGCTGTGGAGGCGCTATAGTGGAGTCAGGGTGGAGGGCCGAGCGGTGAGGGAGGAGAGGTGATGCGTGACCGGACCTGCAGTCACCCTCTTTTAAACCCCTCTCCGCCTCTCACTTGTTTCCCCGTCAGCCCTCCCACCCACTCCGGAAAACCACGGCCCCTGTTCCTTTCGTCTGCAGGGCCTTTTGAGGAAAGAGATGGATCCTGTTCTCAGGGAATACTCCGAGCAAATATCTACATTTTTGAGCATCAAATCCTTGCCCCTGTGGGCTTTAAGCGCTGGCTCTGAAAAGTTTGTGTTTTACTCTTTTGTGGTGGGTGGTGGCTGTAGTTGTCGGATTCGCAGCAAATACAACCAATTCCAATGGATACCTCGAAACAAAGCAACACAACATGTCAACACTAGCCCTGAAAAATCTATTGATCATGCAGGTACAGCTGCAACTGCATCTGCAGAGTAAGCAATTAATGATTTAGTCTATAAAATGTCAGAAAATTTCCAATAAGTGGATTACTACTACTACTAGTTCCAGAGTCGATATAAACCTTCAAAATCAACATCAAAACATGCACAAAAACTTCTCAAACCATTCCTGCTGCATTATCAGCTGCTCAACACAGCTCCACTGACCAAAGCTCCACTGGAAGCAGCATATTTAACTACTTATTAGCAAAATGATGAAAGCTTGTAACGCTGGACAAAGTAAAAATAAACGTGGATTATGCAAAAGGATGTGGTTTGAGAAGTTTCTAAAGATCAATTTGATACTTTTATTTTGTTGTAACTGCGGAATCCATGCTAACTTCGGTGAATCCAAGACGACCGCGGAGGAGCAAGCTACAAACTTTTCAGAGCCTAAATGCAAAGCCTACACAAAGTGCACGTTTAATACTCTAAACACAGATTTTTCACAGAGTGTTCCTTTATCAGTGGTGAGAAAAAAGAAAAAGAGGAGAGGGGGGAAAGAGAGGGGAGCAATGGTCGGAGGGTGGGGCTGGGGGATTTTGGTACAGTTGCCATTGTCATTCCGAGAAGGTTTACCAGTTAAGTGCATCATCATCCTCATCATCACAAAATCAGTTGACGTTTAGATTATCACATTGTAGAAACAGTATGACAGACTTGTAATAATATCTAACAGATGTCACAACTGACAAAATAAAAAGAAAAAAAACAAAACAAAACAAAAAAGAACCAAAAACAAGAAATTTTCAGATTACTAGTATTTTTCAGGGGCATCGCTCCAAGCTTCTTGTTCTCGGGCTGCATCATTCACCAGCAACAGCTGTAGCTAATGCAAGCCTCCAAAGTCCAGAGATCCCTCCACGACACAGATAACGTCAAACCTTTTCCATATCTCAGAGAACTCATCTGCCCCCCCTTCATGTTCATCCCTCAGCGTTACAGATTCCTGGTTCAGTCAGCGAGGTAGGGTAGGGGAGGTTAAGAGCTATACGTGAGGGAGGGTCACCAGCTCCCCGTCCACCTCGAACTCCTCGGCTCCGTCGGGGGAGAAGAGGTAGGTTGGGGGTTTCCAGGGGGACTCCTCCAGGCAGGAGGGGTACAGCTTCCCCACTGCACAGCGGAAGTCCTTACCCAGATCCCAGAGTACGCGTTCAGAAACGGGCTGCCGCAGGTACCAGCGGTCCAGCTCCATGTCATACTGATAGATAGCGTATTTGGCGCGCTCGTTCATGTGGGTTTCACGCATGAATATGCAAAGAGAGTTGAGCAGCACCACTGCCCGCACACATGGGTCCGAGTAACGCTTGGCAGGGATGTTGGCGGCCAGGCGCCACTCGTTCTTGTTGACATCGTAGATCTCCACGGTGACGGATGAGCCGTCAATGGTGCTCGTTGGCAGGCGGATGCCAGAGTTGCTGACCACGTGGAGGCCACCGATGTAGAAAATTAGGTCACCGAAGGCAGCTGCCGAGGCGAAACAGCGGCTGGTCTTGCGCATAGCCATCTCCACCCAGGTGTCGGCTCGGGGGAAGTAGCAGTACATCAGGTCGTGGGTCATCACGTAGATGCAGTCGTGCGCCACCACAGAGGTGCTCCAGTTCCAGGCGAAGGGCAGGGGGCTCATCATGCTCCACTCGTCCTTCTCGCAGTCGTAGCGCTCCACCGTGCGCTTGTTGAGCTCTCCTCCAACATTGTCTCCCCCGATTGCATAGATGTAGCCATCGCAGTAGACCAGCGAGGGCTTGATTCGGGCACACAGCATGGGGGTTTTGGGCACCCATGCGTTCTGCTGGGCGTCAAACCAGAAGAAGCTATCGACCGAGCGGAAGACCGCCTGTAACTTGCCACTCTTGCCGTGGTTGGTGATAGAGTTTTTGAGAGGGATCTGCCCGCCAGCAATGAACACATCATTGTCAGGTGTAACGAGGGTCCCCACCTTCTGCAGGTCCCCGGGGGGGTTGCTGAGCTTGTACACTTTCTCTGCCTGCGGACTGTAACACACCACCGTAGTAAGCAAAGACCCGGACATGACATAGGCCTCGCCTTGCGTTTCTGACATGGCCTCCATGAAAATCAGCATCTCCTCCTTGGTCATGCCTAACCGGGGCTTGAAGAACTTGGGCATGGACTTGTAGAGGCCCTGCACCACCACAGACTTGTCATTGGGCGGCAGACCCTGGAACCAGGCACGCTGTGTCACCTCTGACAGGGCGTCGATGCGGATCTGACTGAGTACAGAGGATAGGTGCTGCGATCGAGCCTCCATGTTATACTCCAACCACAGCATGGCCGCCTCGCGCACCGTCTCCTCTTTCTCCACGTTGAGGTTGTCGCTGCTCAGGACGTCTATCAGCAGCTCGTGGGAGAGCTGGAGGAAGGCCTCCTGTCGGTACACCATGGGGAACTTGTGCTCCACCATGCGCTTGGCGCTCTGTTTTAGCTCGCTACAGCTGAACAGGTCGCCGATGCTCAGCATGCGGACGCAGTTCTCAGCGTTGATCTTCTTCACCAGATAGTCTCTGCACTGCAGCAAGACGTCCTCCACCTGAACGAGACAAAGGACAGAGAGAAATTACAGTCAGAAAGCTGCAGAGAAAAACATCTCTCTTTGCATTAAAGGACAAAGACACAAAAGTGGAACAACACTAGTATGGAGATATTTTATCTTATTCTTTTCACTGATGTAAATGTCCATGAACATCATAAATCAAAGATATGAATGGAAAGAAAACTAATATTTGTATGCTGTGGCCACAGTGGACTCTAGATTATAAAATCTACATATCTTCATGAGTCATTTTTGGCTGGTTAAGTAATTTGAATGAAAAAGGACTCAAGGAATTAAATGTTGGCGTCTTAGTAGATAAAATGGCTAGAAGACTTAATCTGACAATCATTGCTGAGCTTGTACGCTTTCTCTGCCTGCGGGCTGCAACACACTGCTGTAGTAGGTAAGTACCTGAGTATAATACAAGCTTACCATGTTTTTATAGGCATCCTTAAAGAAAGATCCAAATGGCTATTAGAACACTTGATATGCATTTCTTGTTTGTTTTGTCTACTGCTGTACTGACCTGTAGGAAGCAGGCGGTCTCGTAGAGCGGCTCCACGGTGCTATCATTGATGGCCAGGTTGCCTGTGTAGGCGTAGGTGATGATGATCTGCAAGGTGGCTGGGTCCACGTTCCTAAGGTGGACGTGGGTCTGTTTGCTCTCACTGAGGCCACTCATGAACATCGCCCTACAGGAGCGGGAACACAACGATGGAGGATCATCAGTCAACACAGTCCTTATTTAATGGAGTGAAGAGCAAGAGATCTGAGATTCACTGATGTTTCCATAAAAGAAAAGTGAAATATGGCTTTTATATGTAAACTTGTTTATATGTTTGAGTCTGCTGTCCTGCAGCAAACCTTGTTAGAGTAAAGTTTTTCATTATACCCTTGCTGTGTCATGCTTATATTATGTTAACAATTGTCAGATTTCTACTTTTACTGTACTTGGCAAACACAAACCATTTGTGCAAGTGAAACTGGATCCATGGAAACCACATATTTTAGAGCTGCAGACTACAGCTGATAAAGGCCAGTAGTCTAAAGTTAGTGACATACAAAATGATGCCGTTGCCCTAATTGACATATCGTTTCTCTCTAAGGAAACACATCCTTATAAGGCTGTATTCATTTAAATACAATAAACACAAAGAGTTGAGAAACCCAAAGTTCTCTTTCAACACCAAATGAATGTAATGAATGGTTCCTCAAGTACCATCATTGCTAAGCAGCACATTCAAACAGATAGAAGCCACAATGACAAAGCACTTGTGCTGGTTACACACAAAAGGTGAAGTAGTTTCTCTGGATGAAAAGACTTTATTTCTTCCCCATTTGTTGCTGTTTGTTTCAGATTACTTTTTTAAACTTTGAACTGGTTACACCGTATAAGACCTATTCCATCATATCAGCACATATTTAAGTTTTCCAGTCAATGTTTTGTAATCAGCAAAGACTGACTTCATAATAAACCCATGAGACAGGACATCCTTTCAGTCTACATTGGGGGATCACTGTTTTAGTATCCAAACTTTTTCTTTTAAATAAACAGAGCCTCCTAATGACAGCTGGCCAGTTGCCAAAGTGGCTGGAAAAACAGACAAAGTAACCAACCAGAGCCAGTCTACCTGTAATTGGCTGCTGCAGGAGTTAATTTCCCACTGTCCTTGTGTTATTTGAAAACAACATCCAACTATATCTTTTCGTTTTAAAAGCTGGTAAATAAATATTTGTTATTGTTGATTAATCTGCTGATCAGTTCTCTGCGAACTGGCTCCTCAGAGCATATGAACCTATACGTATTCTAGGTCTCAAATAGCAGGACTGAATATCTCTGGCTTATTTGGAGCAGATGTTACTACCGACCTGATACTTGACAGTTGTTGTACACGGATTAGCCTGTCCACCAACCCAGTTTCCCTAATACTGAAATGACAAAAAGTGACAGTCGAAACCCGGCCGGTGGGATAACTGTGCACGGTTTAGCTCCTGCTGGGGCTCTGACTCCCAGTGTATCTGCAGCAGCCTCGGCAGGCCGCCTACACTTCCACGTCGCCATTCTTCAGCTCTCAAGAGTGAGTCAGAGCCTCTTTAACCTCTTTCACGACATCAATTTCTCACATTTTATGCATCTGGGGAGCCGTTATTGGCTTGAGTTGGTAATTCGCATTTATGCTGCTTATGTCTTTGGAGCCAAACGCATAGTGCTGCAGAGATATTTTTGAGAGGCGCACAGCATGGGCAATAAAGGGACGTTGGGTCTTTTTCATTAGAATTTCTGTTGATTCAGTTTGCATTTGTGTTAGTGGCACCTTCTGTTTATTCCACACACAATACATTTGCTGAACTGGAATGCACAAACACATCGGTTCCTGTGTGCCAAATAATTTGTTGCTCCAACAGCTCCAAGGAACAAGTTCCCTCAATTGTTTATTTATTTTTAAATTGCAACCAAATTCAATTTACTTGTCAGGAAATTTTATTGTAAAATAAAACTGGTGGTGGTTTGTGATTTTCTATAGATGATGAAATTTTATAAATGAATATTCATAAATATAATTACTAGATTAAAAATATGATAATAGCCGTCATTTGCAGCCTCAGTCTTCATAATATTTTGTCTGCAAACCAGCTCTACCCTTGTGAACAGCAGTTTTGGGGGTGTGTGTCTCTGTGCCGATCACAGCAGGGGCAAAACCTGCCAGGCTGTATTACGCAACCCTGCAGGCATACCCCTGCACCCCCTCCCTCCTTTTCCTCTCTTCCGTCCCCTTTTCTCTCCATCTCTCACCAAGACCTACGTGACCAGACTTTCCCCTACAAACACAAGTTCCCTCCAGAGTCCCGCGGTACCCCCCCCCCCCCCCCCCCCCCCCCCCCCCCCCCCCCCCCCCCCCCCCCCCCCCCCCCCCCCCCTTCTCTGAAGCAAAGCGTGCAAGACGGGAGGCGGTGGAAAGGAGGGGCAGCAGCAGAAGGACAGAGCCACGGTTTAGAGGAAGCGCTAGGACACCTCTGAACCCTGGAGGGGAAATGCTTTGCATGTTCGCACCAGATAACGAGTGCGTGGGAAACAGTTGGGAAGATCGGGGAGAGGTGGGTATGAGGGAGGCATAAAGTTGTCGGGACCTTTTCTTGGAATGCGTGTGTGGAGTGTGGTGTGCAGGGAAAGAAGAGGGAGGGAGGCGTGAGACAGACAGGGAGGTGGACAGCGTGTTCAAATGCTTCATGAGCTCCTGTCATGTACAGATGGACTCTTCCCAGAGCTGAGGCTGCTGCTCTGTCACATTCACTGCAGTGCACACACTATATTATGCAATGTTGTGCGTACAAATGAGGCCTCCTGGGGGCCTTGAGGGATACGTCTCTGGTACTACAGGTTAGAGATTGCTTCATTTGTTCTGTGTAGAAATATATATCAGAGACGGAACAACTGCCGCAGAGGGCGACCCGAGCCCCCGCTTTTAAGGAAACACCATCCCCTTGTTTTCCATCCTCCACGTATAGAGTGGGTAACACTTACTGTACGACGTGCTGCATTATTCATTGTAACTGTAGGAGGTGAGCACTTACACATATAACAACTGCGCTACATAATAACAGCGTATCTACACCTCATCCCAACCCCCCCACAACCCCTAACTGAAGGGAGTAATTGCTGTCTTTAAGCACCAAAACCTGTGTGGTGCATTATTAATTGAAACTGTAGGAGACAAATTCAGAGGAGATATACCACACAAAGCTTGGGCACAATCAGCCTGAGGTTTTTAAAAAAACAGGAACCCCCAACATACAACATGAGCAGCATGAGGCTGATAACAGTGTGGCGCACTCACCTGAAATAGGAGCTACATGTGGCCAGGACCATCTTGTGACATGGGAACTCCGTGTCCTCCACCAGCAGCACAACATCAGTCAGTAACTTCTGTTCATAAAAGAACTTGAGCTGCTCCAGGAGGGAGACAGCGTAGTCCGTGTTGACCGGCCTGCGCTCACTGAGATCCGACATGGTTGCATCCCATGAATCGCGCCCCAGTTTTGAAAAGTCACACGGCCGGCAGAACCGGACTCAAGCCAACCAGGAGAAAAAAAAAATTCTCAAAGATTCAAGAGGGTAAATGGGGGAGAGGGAAGGGGACAGCTCTCTAACACCTCCACTGGCCAAAGTGGAGGTGTTCGACTCCTATGTGGAAAAATTTCTGCTGCTCCTTCTTCCTGGAGATGAGTTGAAAGATGAGATGAGAACGTTCTGGGGTTGTGGCAACCAAGTGTAACCGTCAGGAGTCCAGGGGTCTTGGGTGAGGAAGGGGAAGTTTCCCCACGTGGGTCTATCTGTTGTCTGAGGTCATGCAGTGAGGCACTAGGTACCGGAGGTAGAGAGAGAGTGTGATGACTGTCGCAACACTGCTACATCAGTGCTTATCTGAAAAACAAAACAAGCAATGATGAGTCTAGAATCCATGCAAACTAGCAGTACAGAAAAAAACAACTTCTACTAAATCTATGAACTCTCTTCATTTTTTTATAGTCCAGTTTTTGGGCTTCCAAATCTGGCAAACATCCTGAAAATCTTATTTCATATGAAATCTGCACTTTGCACAACCTGCCTCCCCTTACATGTCACCTGCTGCCATCTCTCCCCTCAACCACCCTTCATCCCAAGCTTCCAGAAACTGCACTGACAGCCAGACAGTTGCTAACGGGAGAGTCTGAATGGAAGTGGGCAGTGACTATTGGCTTTCTATAACCAAGACGGCATCTGGATTAAATGCATTCACAGGGGTTGCTTGAAAACATATTTCATTCATAATCTGGTTTAGATTAAAGATGCATCAACTTCACATTACAAAACAACAGAGTTTACCTTCAGTGTTCAGCCCCAAACCAGAGCCACAAGACCCCAAAGCATCTTAAACCTGAAGTTATTAGTCCCATAATTTCCCCAGATCTTTCTATCTGCCATGATGGTACTGGCACTATAGCATATCCTAGTTTTCTTTCTCTTTCAGTTATGTGTGTAGTTTTCATACTTTAGTCTATTTAGTTGTTAGTGTATAGAATTTAGCTGTTAATTGTATTGTTGATCCTTTGCAGTTATAGTGAACCATGAGGATATTACGGTTCATGACGGTAAAATCTAGTCAATGAGATACACCAGCTGACTGAAGAGCCATGTGGTACAATTTGTCAGATATTAATAGGCCATTGGTAAAATATAACGTTTCAATCACGCACACAAAAACACATCATCTTTTTGGCTGTAAGAGTTGAGCTCCACTGCTCACTTCTTAAATGACTTTGTACTTTTTGGCAGGTTACCATGACTCAAAGCCACTTTTACCATCAGTGCCATCATTGGCTTCTTGCAGCACAGCTTACACCATACACCACCTACAAACAACACTACTACTGGTGCCGACCAGGCCACCCTGTTCCAATAAAGCACTGTGGATATCATTTGTGGAAGGAAGGAGAAACACCATGAAATGTTAATAATATTAGTTGTTATGTCAACTTCTCAGCCGAATATCTATGACAAATTCAGGGTTGCGCATCGATGCATTTTGCAACGATCTCCACACCACAGTGGATCAGATCTGTTTGATGCTGTTAACACACTCAGATTCAGGATATTTCTAATTAGCGTTAGTCAATATTAGACACTAAACTCATTAGCAGATTTCACATTCACATGACAATTCATAAATGTAAACGTTAAGGTTGGTTAGCAGTTAGTTTCTACGATGCGTGTTCATGTGTATGTCTAGCCTGTGATCAGCGAGGGATGCAGTTTGGTAACAATGTGTGCAGACTGTAGGTAAATGTTCACCTAACGTTAGGCCATCTAACACACATCAGCTTCATGCTTAGTACATATATAGTCTATTTACAACTTTTTACCCTAAAAAACCTGCTAAGTAGCAGGTTATTCTGGAAGTAAAGGCTGACATTTGAAGGGTGTTTAACATTTTTGGACTAGCCTGATGCTGGCTAGCTACGTTAGCACATCACCGTTAACCATCACGTCCAAAACAAGCCTTGTTTAAAACAGACAGGTTAGCAAACCCGACTGCTCGTGTTCTCCGTAGCTTTGTTTCAAAGCACTAGCTCAACAATGTGATCATCCTTGTTTTTGATCAATACATCTGATCAGCTAGCTTCGATTTCATGTTATATCGCTAGCTCAAGTAGCGACGGCAAGTTAGCAACTTTAGCTTCCCTCCGCTCACAGTTCCGGGGTCAGCTAACGTGGTACCATGCCTCCTGGTGACTGTAAGAGAGGCGAGCATCTGACATGATCAGCTCATTTGTGAACTTATTCAAAAAAGGACGTGATAGTCACAAACCAACGCAGCAACCAAATTAGAGAGCGGACATGCTGCTAGCACACAACGCTAAGCTAAAATAGCTAAATAAACGGCAGTTAGCTACCTGAGAACTTCGGCAACCAAAATCCAAGCTCCTTTACGGTAACTGCGGGCAGACTCCACAAACTGAACCGTCACCGTGGCTTTTCCAGTCAGCAGAAAGTGCCAAGTAAGCTCCTGAAGCCGAATTTAGACATTAAACAGTTGTGTAGAAGCGCCGAGCAGCGGACACCCTTTCAGCGCATCATAAGCGCCTGAAAGACCAGAGGCCAAATCAGGATACTGCGCAAGCGCACACACTAAGCAGCCTAACAGTGACCTCTGCTGGACAGACGGACACACAGTAGCACTGCAACCTTATGGAACCTTATGAAACGGAGTATACATTTAAATTTAAAAATACTAAGTTATGTATTTTTGCCTTGCCCAAAACACTGCAGATAGTGAGACCATGTTTTTATGTGTTAACAACCTGAAACTAGCACTTGGTAAATATTCTGTAGAGTTCTTAGGATATTGTATTTCTACTAAAGCCTGTAAGACACTTATGTAATTAAACTATCATTTTCCTTTGGGGGAGGCTTTGAAACATTTAGACCTTCATACGTCATACAACTTAACAGTGAATAGTGTAAACACTAAAAACATTGCAAAGATAGACTTTATATTTGATGTCGGTCAAAAGTTTTTGGTGAATGTGGGACTCATTTCATTTTCATTTAATTCATTGACCTTGACAGATTTTTATTTTCTGTATTTGTTGATTTCACTTTGGTAGAGTTTTATTTTTTAAGAGTTGCACACGCCTTGTTGGAAAACCTAGGCTACATTTTATCCTGGTTAATCTGACACTGCTCAAACTCATTGTGTTTACAGTCCTGAGCAGAGCCGCAGGTGTTTCCTATTTGACTGATTAGCGGAGATGTTTCAGCTTTTGTGAGTCGGGCGTCTTGTGGACCTGAGAGGGACGCCGTTCTACTTATATTTGTTTAAAGAAAAATTGACTGTAAAAAAACAAACTTGCCTTTAATTTTCAGGAGCTGGGGGATGTTTATTATTGTTGTTTTTGTCATCCCCCTGAAGTGTTTTATTCTGACAGGTTGAGCAAGAACGCGAATGTGAAAATGGACGGTAAGACTTTCTTATAATGTTAATTTTCCTAATTTAATTAACAACATTTGAGCTATGGTGACTTCTTGGTTTTATCACAATTAAAAACAACGAGTAGACAGTTACATCTTTTGTTTGTTTTTTTTCCTCATTTATTTCTGATATCTCACCTGCTGCTTCCTGTAGATGGAAGCAAACAGCCACATACATTTGGAGGTGGACAACAGAGAACTCACCATCCCAGACCTTTTTTCTATGTCCAGCCACCATCTCAACCTTATTACCTCTACCAGCACTGGCAGATGAACAACCCATACAGTCACTATGGTTTGCCTGGAGGTATCAGGCTATTTAAATTTACGTTTTTGTTGCAATCATCCAGTACTGATTGCCTGAAATCTCACAATTATGTATCTATTTCTCTAGGTTTTAACTTTAGCCGTCCCTGCATGCACCCTTACCAGTACATGCAGTATCCTGGCTTTGTTTTCCCACATGCTCCAATATATCCAGTGGATTACAGGCGAATGTTTGAACCTCGGTTCCATGCTCCTACCTGGGGTGACATGCCTCGCCAGCAACATCACCCGCAGCCTCATCGGTCTCGAGAAATGGCCTGCTCAGAGGCTCAAACAGACCCCAGCGATGCCATAACCAAGCTCATCGAATGCCTGGATAAAATTCGTGCCAACGAGCTGCAGGGTGCTGAGAGAGAGCTGGACTCTGGTGTCGCCTCCCAGTCCTCAGGGATGTTTTCTCCTGGAGAAGAGAAGAAAAGTGAAGAGCAGGGTCACGTCCTACCCTCAGTGCCTGACGACAGTCCTGCTGTGACCTTCAGTGACTCCACAACAGCGGTGTATGACGGTGAGTCCAGCCAAAGAAGCTTAGACGCACTGAGCCCTCAGGGATGCTGGTCAGCGGGCTTGGAGGAGGAGTTGCCTCTCGATAGCTCCTCTGTTCATGAAGAGTGTCCTGAACTTGAGCAGCCAACAGGAGAACACTCTCTTCCTCTTGAGAAAGAAGACGCCACAGATATCCAGTCAGATATCTTAGTGACCTGTCCAAGTGTTCCCAAATATGATGCTGTAGAGCTCCTGAAGTCCCCGGCACCTTCCTTTTCCTCCGCTCAGCCTGTGCTTAAGGAAGCTAACTGCAGAGACAAAGACTCAAAGACAGAACATCAGACAGGATCCTTTGATGAAGCCAAATCCAATCCAAGCTACCAGATTCTCAAGCTGCCTTTTGAAAATGTTTTGACCCCTGGAGCTGCAGGAGCTTGTCGTCTCTCATCCCCCACAACCTCCTACTACTACAACTACCTCCCCATGCAGTCCACCCATGAGCGGATGAGTGTTCTCAGTCCGTCTCTTGATGAGCTTTCCTCCAGAGATGAGATGTTCTCCACAGACCTGGAAGATGCGGACCTTTTTCCCAACAAACATGTGTATACCGGCAGGAGGCTGCCAGAGGTCGTTGGTGCTTCTCCTCAAGCCGCTGAAGAAATAGAGGAAGTGTGGCTGCCAGGTTCAAAGAGGTTTGTGTGCGCTTGCTGTGGGAAAAGCTTGGCAAAAGGTGCGGGTAGGAGCAAAGTCCACAGCTCCAAGATGTACCGAGATGAAGCCGGAGACTCTGAGGAGGAAAGCAGGTATGGCAGAGGGTGTGAGCAGCCGGTCAGAGTGGTTGTGAAGAAGCATTCTGCACCCAGGAAGCCGCATTCTCTCCCATCGAGACATTCAACAAAACCCAGGTATAAAAGAGGCCAATACAAGGATCCCTCGGATCCATTCGACCAGGAGGAGGGTCGTGATCTTTGTAAGCAGGATCCAGCTGATGGTGAGATGGGAGAGATGACTAGCAGTGAGCTGCAGTGCGGAACATGCCAGGGTAAGTCTCAGATAGGAATGTTTTTTTTTTTTTCTAAATTTGACACTTGAGTTGACAATCATCTTCAGTCCAAGCCTGTAAATCATGTTAGAAATATGCAGTGAATGTGTGAACTCTTTCATAGACAGACTCTGCAGAGATGATCTGACCACCACAGACCAAGGCAGGTGGGGAGACGGTGACGTGATTCCCAGGAGGAGACAAGCAACCCCTCTGCAACGACAAGGTAGAAAAAAGAAAGAAGATGAAATGATTCACAAAAATGAATATTGAGACTTTGCTGATGTTTGTAGGTAAAGCAAGACGCATCTTGTTCCATCTCGGTGTCAGTTTGCAATTTGTTCAAACAGCATAATAAGGATTTTGCAGCCAGGTGGGAGTAGTTTTGGCCTCATATTTATTCATTTACCCCTCAAAGTTTGGTGTAAGCCTAAGAAAGACCAACCAAAACAACATCTGGGAACACATTCTAAAATATAAAGTTCAAGATGTTTCTTCACAAACTGTATCCACAATAGAAAGGCCAAAAAAATGCTGAATGACTCCAGTGTCTTTGAATTGTGTTGTTGGCTTAACATTGGATGCTAGTTGATGCGGGGATAAAGAAAACATGAATTTAAATTCACAGAAGCAACATGATTATGCAATTCATTGTAATCTAATCTATCCTAACTGTAATATCTTAAAGTTGAGCCGCTGATGATTTGATCTACCTGCATCTATTTGACAGAGATGAGTACTCAGAGGAAGGTGATGTACCACAGGCCGAGAGATGAGGACAATGATGACGATGAGCCACCACCATTACTCTGGGAGAGAGGTTGATTAATGTTTGTCTTCTGTAATACTGTTAACATTGACCTTGTTATGAATGTAATGATTTCATTGTTTTACTTTTTGCCAGACTCTACCATGAGAGGAGACCCAAGATGTTAATGTCCCTGGACTGACTTTTGAACAAAGTGTGTTGAACTGTAGGTGAAATCCGCAAAACACTGCACAAGATGAATCTTTTTCCATAATACTCACAATACTTCAAAAGGGAAGGAGGCATTATTTTTTCCAGATGACTGACAATTGAGTTCACATGCACCACAATCTGCAACACTTTAAAACTTCAGACTTGGTGAAAACATGTTGTAATGTTTCTTTCTTTCCTCCACAGGTCCCCCCTAAAAGGTGTAAAATGTTCCAGGATAATGTGTTTGAAAATACTTAGAGCACCAGGTGAAATGCACTGCACAGGACGCCTCTTTTTGTTAGATAAAAGTAAGGAAAAAAAAAATGTATAAAGTTTCTGCAGTGACACTGCCTTGCACTATTCATGATTGGTGGATTTCACAAACAGGTAAATGGGCTGCAAGGTTGTGTTGCAGATGATGGTGTGCCACTGTTTGGGGCCAGTCCAATAAAATAATGTCATTATTTAAGCTTTGTGTTTAATTATTCTATATTATGTCATTTTGTGATAATGCACATTGTGCTGGAAGACTACATATTTTACAGCGTTTAATTGATTTCTAGGTCATACTAGTTGATGAAATCCTGGTGTGTATTTCAAGAAGCAGGTTTAGTGATGTACATGCTCTGTATCTGGACAACATGGAATAATATGAAGCACAGTTACCAGCTTTGAGAAGGTTTAGGGGTTAAAGATATGAGAATCTAATGCTGATCAGCCTGTAATGCAGCATACCTGTTATTTATTTTTGAAATATAGTTATGGCAGCAATAGGAAATGAGTATTGATCTGTAGAACCAGGTGCCAGGTCAGATATGTGATTTACTCAAGCTACCAGCTATTAACCCCTCCTATCTAACTGAGCTAAAATAATTAGTTGAATAATGGATCTTCCCTTTGAAAGGAAATTAAGTGGCATAAAATGTGATGAATGAACCATTTAAGTCATTTTTCAAGCAGAAATTTCCAATATTTGCTGATTCCAGCCACTAAAATGTGTTGAATTTGTTTTCTCTGTATTACATCATTGTAAGTTGAATATCTTTGGGTTATGGACTGTTGAATGGACAAAACAAGACATTTGAAGATGTTGAGCTTTTTTCACTATCTATGTTCACTTAACGATTAATCAGTTAATACCAAAAATTGATCTAACCTTTGCTCTAGTGGATGCTCTAAACATGTTTTTGTGCACAACAGTTGTGTTTTTATAGAAACCTGAGGCAAAACTTGTTCATTTATATTGTCTTTCTTGAAGAGAACATGTTGTGGAAATTTGTAAAAGTAGATTTT